AACTTCATAAACTGTTCACTTTTTTGTAAAAGCCTGGTGTTATCTATGAGACTGAAATGTCTTGCTGTGAGGTCTTGCTACATCTACTTTTCTATCTTTAAATTGGTTATGTCTGCCATTTCTTAACTAATGTAAAAGTGGCATCTACCTGTATTATATTTATGAAAAAGTCGTCACTTTTATCGCCTAAAACTTTCGAACCACTTAACTTTCGAATTTGACCAAATTAATGTGGTTCAGACTCATTTAAAGGGAGCACAGTTTTACATGTATTGAGGAGCCTGGAGTCACTGTAGTTTAATTTTCAGTTTTTCATTTAGTTTCGTTTAGATCTATTCTTGTGAAAGTCCGTCTTCTAAAACGCCATTGTAAACAAGTGTGGTTTCCGTTCACTAGCCGACCGAAAAGATTCCAACCATACCTTTGGAATTCTGGAGTGTACAACCACGAAAGCGGAATAGAGAATCAATCTATACATCTCTATATCTAGACCTTTTAATTGTTTGCATCTCTCAAGATTTATTGCTCCATTCTAGCAGAGAGTAAATATAATAGGCCAATGACTTTCAGTTGATGTTAATGCACCGAACATTCCTTTCATCGAAAGGGGGCCCAGCCAGTTGACAATATGAGCAAAAGCATAAACTTCGACTAACACAGTCATAGATAGATAGATACATATACATAGGCCTACATACAGCTCTTGCCAACCTGTTTGAGACCCGTCCCCCGCCCCACGAGTGGGCGATTTGATAAGTTTGGTGGACAGTAGTGATCACCTGAGTAGTGACAGGTGTTTTTTAACTAATGTCCCGCTTGGACATGTCAACATCATTGCCGTCATTTAACGTAGTTGTATGTCAAAATAGTAGGTTTTGGGGAGAAACAAAGATCTGTTATATTTCAGGCATGACGTAATGTTACTACAAAAAATGGTTCATTCGTCTATAGTCATCACTATTTCAAGAAGAGGAATGAGGCTAGGACCAGTCGATTCATTTCCCCAAACTTTACAACATACGAGCGTAAATCTACTCTTACAATATTGGGTGAAGGCGACGCGACGTCATAGTAGGCGGGTGGTATGAAAATTGTATCCCCTTGAATACGGAAAAAATGGGTACTGGCGATTAAGGGGCACTGGATATAGCTGAAGTGAAAATTTTGTTCTGGGCTCTAAATTAAGTACACTGGGATTCCCAATAAGATGGGTCAAGAAACAGAAACATAACATCCCTACGTGATTTCACTTTCAATTTTCTGAATTCTTGAGATGCAATGGGTTCGACAGACCAAAATTCACCCTATTTCTAAGCGGGGATTGTGAAAAAGATTGAATAGATACAGCCTTCATATTAGATATTTTCACACAGTGTTTCTGTATATATCTTGCAACGTACTAAAGATTTACTTTCTTTAGTCTCATACTTGTCTTGTAACTGCCTTTTTAGTGTCATATTAGACACTGGAACAAAAAAAAATGATCACAAATCAGAGTGATACTGTCAATCTTTTTTTACACTGACAGAAAACGTATTACAATATCACAATAATCTTTTAGTACGTTGCAAACATATTATCCAGAAACAGTCTTGCAAAGTGAGATTGAGCTATGACATGTACTTTCAGAAATACCTCCGCATAGGTGACCCATCCTCCTAAGAAAATCATAGTTTTGAGAAAACTGAAGGAAAAAAAAGAATTGCTACTGTTCTATTTCAACACAATGTTATAAAACATGGCATATGAGTATATTTTTCATTTATTTGATATATGCACACTATATAAAAATGTAAAACAATTTCATTTTGGAAAACATATCCAACTAAAACCCTCGACACCACCATCAAAACACTTGAAAAAAAAAACCAAGGTGATAAACACTAAAATGGGTAGAATTTTGGTTTTTAAACCGAAATGCACTTGAATATTATGTAGGATGTACACATTGCCCTGAAATTATATATTAAAACGCTTTGGAATATTATATAGGATGTACCCAATGCCCTGGAATTATATTATAGCTGCAATCAAAAGAAGAATTGAAATGAAAATCGTCAACACTTGCACACATGTCGTTGCACTGAGGCAACCAGAGTTCGATTCCCGAATGGGGAGACGTTTATATCAAGCATTTCTATCTTTCTGCTGGGATACTGTATCCTTCACAGCCCAGGTTAGCCCTGACAACCAGGGCCAGGAGCTTGCCTCCTAAATGATCTAAATTGAGTCGATGGGGACATCTATTTAAAAAAAGAATAATTTCCCCTGCAAACATGCTGCATCCCACAATCCTCACTTCACATTTCAAGACAGACAAAGAAAGCCCTGGAATAGTATACAGTTATTTTTTTTTAATAGTCGAGGGTTTTACGGCGCTCGCAACTGCATAAGGTCATATGGGCACCAAGGGGTGGGTGTCAAGGTCTGCTTCGACTATCAAGGCACCCCAAAATAGCAGGTCACAAGAGAGGGACAAGCATACAAAAGAAGTAGAGGAAAATGACAATAGTAAGGATCAGGAAAGAAAAAGCAGTAGTTCCCTGTTGTAGATCAGGCACAGTTATGAGCGTGACATGAGTCAGCCCATTTACAATTCTACTATGCTTGAACGAGAAATGTCCCCCCTTTGGGAATGGTCTAAAGACACTACAGTCAGTGGCACTGCCCCGGGGGGTTTACACAGTTAGTACTGTGATCAAAAGATAAAAGAATGAAATGAAAATTGTTTACACCATCATCTATAGTGAATCGGTTAGGATAGTCGCCGTCGCACTCAGGTGACCAGAGTTCGATGTTGGAATGGGGAGTAATTTTTATCAAACATCTGTCTTTCTGCTGGGATGTTGTATCCCTCTCAGCTTGAGTTGGCCCTTACAGGCAGGTTTGGAAGCCAGCTTCCTAAATGATATAAGTTGTGTTAAAAGCGGCATAAAAATATAGGTTACAATAAAACAAACATATTTTTATAAAACATTCTCCCTAAATGCTGCATCCAACCACCCTTACTTCACACGTCACACTTCATGACAGACCAAGATAAATATATACATGTAAAATTTGTACTGTAATCCAAAGAAAAAGAATAGTAATAAAAATCGTTTACACACCAATGTCTGTTGTGTAGTGGTTGGACGCTTCGTTGTCAAACTCAGGAGACCCGAGTTGATTCCGGAGTGCGGAGAAATTTTTATCTTTCAAGCATCTCAGTCTTTCTGCTTTGATGTTGTATCCCTCTCAGCCGGTGTTGGCCCTGTCAGGCAGGGTTGGAAACCTACCTCCTAAATTATCTAAGTTGTGTTGATGGGAGTGTAAAAACACAGGCTATAATAATTTTTTTCAAAAAATCAATTTCCGTACAAACATGCTGCATCCAACCATCCTCACTTCACATGTCACACTTCATGACAGATATATATATACATGTAAACTTACTACTCTAATCCAAAGTAAAAGGTATAATCCAAAGGAAACAGGTGCCTGGCATCTACCACAAACCACATTGCGAAGTAGCCCGGCAAGCATCTCAAGATGAACCACAGTTGTTTTGAAGTTCTCATTGTGATCCCGTGTGGGTACTACTGTAAAATTATTATAGTCCAACTTTGTTCGTGAAGCAGTTTTGGAAGACGTCGGTGAGGAAACTACGTGTTTTCAGCGACTGGTGGGGTAGTCACCGAAGCAGGGCCATGAGCAGGTGTGGCTCTACTAAATTAGTCCAAAATCGAAAAATCGGTTTTTGACACCAAAATCAACTTTTTCTAGCTGTTGGCTACTGCCGTGGTGGTGTTCCTTAAAAAGCTGATAAGCATTTGACTAACGTTATAAACACTTCTTATTTCATCATTATCAGTGCCTTTCACCCCTGGCAGGGTATAGGCCACATTCAAGCTCATTCCATTTATCTCTGTCCTGGGCCATCCTTCCTAGCTCGTTCCAAGTGAGCTTCATCTCTCTCATGTCCCTTTACACACATCTCCTCCATGCTTCCCGAGGCCTACCCCTGCCTCGTGCTCTCTGTGGGTTCCATTGCAGTGACTGTCTTGTGATGTTTCCGCTGGGCTTTCTGAGGGTGTGTCCCATCCAATGCCACTTTCTAAGTCCTATTTCTACTTCTATATCCTTTTGTCCTGTCCTTTCCCACCACTCTTCATTTCTTATTCTATCCTGCCACTTAATTCTAAAGATACTCCTCAAACATCTGTTGATGAAAGTCTGGACTTTATTCAGCACTGTCTTTGTTGTCTTCCAAGTTAAGCAGCAGTAGAGGAGCACAGACTTGACATTGGATTTAAAGAGTCGAATCTTGGTGCGCAGTGAGATGTTGCTTGCTTTCCTGACTTTTGATAATTGCTTGAATGCTGACCTTGCCTTGGCGGTTCTTGCTTTTACACCTGCCTCAGTTCCACCTTTACATAGTAATCACCAATATTTTCTTTATTCACAACATAAATGTCATTTAAATCATCAAAAGTTTTGGGAGTGCTGGTAAATAGAAACGACTAATGAAACGTATGGAGGGAGAGTAAAGAAAAAATAAAAGAATAAATGAAAAAGTAAATGAGCAAACAAATTCATTCATTCATTCATTCATTCATTCATTCATTCATTCATTCATTAATGAGTAAATAGGTAAAAAAGTAAATAAGTAAATGTATATAAATAAGACTAAAAGAGATAAAAAATTAAACTGGTTTTAGGCATATCTATGGAATCAAAATTTACAAATCCATTTTCTTATTAACGAAATATTATTTCAAGGCCACCATGACATTCACTTGGCAATCTTCTACTCAGCGAAATCAAATCTGAAGTGAGGAAACAAAACAACGTTTTCTCTGTTTATTTGCAATAGTCAGTGAAATGTCACGTCTTTATTACAAGAAGAAGCTGGAGTTTTTTGTGGGTTTTTATTGGGGTGGGGTGTTTGTTGTTGTTATGTTTCGTTTTTTAAGGGAGGTGGGGGTTGTTGTTTTTTTCTGGGGTGGGGGGGGTGGAGGTTCTCTAAATTGTTTCAGGAGGACTTGTGACCATGGAGCTTCCTCTGGCACACAAGAACCGGGCAGTGGGCGTGGTGAAGGACGTAGTTGGAGACTGAGCCAACCAGCGTGCGCCTGACGGCGCCTAAACCACGTGACCCGGTGATGATGAGGTTGGCCTTGTTCTCGTCTGCTGCTTTCACGATGGCGTGGCCGGCGTCGCCCGTGAGTCGCATGAGTCTGGCAGATATCTGGGGACACCGGTTTGAGTTTGATTACGATGATGTCAAAAGTTGCTTTTGTTGGTTGTTGTTGTGTTTTTTTGTCGTAAGTGTTTTACGGCTACCTAGTACCAAATCAAGGTGACCGGCTTTGTGTGGGAAGAAAATGCTTGCCATCCGAGGTCGCAGAAATCACCACGGGCCAGTAGCGTCAGGCTAATCGGACCGAATTCGTTGGAGTAGCAAAACGCTAGCCACCCCATATCGGGCGGCTAGCGCTGGCCTAAGAATTGTTACCATCTAAAAGTTATTTATCTAAAACGTACATGTGTAAAACGTTCTTTACTCTAAAAGGGTTCACTTTTCAAGGGGTTCTAGTACTGATCTACAGTTCGTGTATAACGGACAATGTACATGATTGTTAGAATAAAGAGCATGGCAAACAGTGAAGATAGTTTTATAAGGAATACAAAATTTACATCTTCGCAGTGAGAGTGCTAGTTGTTACGATTGTCGGAGAGTTACAGGTTACGAGTACACGCGTATTAATTGTTAGCATA